GAGGGAATAAATGAGAATGGAAATAAAATTGTGAGGAAATTATATAGATATATTGTTGTATTATATTGAAAGTGAAAAAGAAATGTTATTGTATATGGATTTGCTAATTTATGTGACGGTATCGCAATTTTTTGTAGACAATTGAAATAAAATTACGGAATAGTTCCGGGAAATTTCCTACATTTCACTCCGAAATTATGGGAAAGTTGAGTAATATTTATTGAATATTTATTCAACTTTGGCAACATTTACTGTATGCGGATTTCGACATGGGAATTTTTACTATTTCAGTCTCTCCGCGCATGAAAATTCGTGCAATATAATCATCAAATTTTCCGGGGAATTTTTTAACGACTCCATGTTTGTTAAAAATTGATTCAAATTGCAGGATTTTTTGTGCTATTTAATTTTCACTGTCTCTATCGAACCGAGTGACTTTCGAATTACTCAGGAGTAATTACTAACTGCTCTCCCAATCTCCTTAACCAACATGACGTAATCGATTGTAGAACAATTAGTGAGACTCGAATTCCAAGAATGAACAGTTATATTTTCCCATAACTTCTGGGACTCACGTGATTACGTGATTTGCAAATCGCTGTATATTTATTCACACGAAAAACTTTAACGACCGTTCACCACAAGTCCAAGGAAAATACACAAAAGCCATCCGGAGGTCTAAGAAGTCCCAGTATTCGAAAGTTCTGAATCAAATAACAAAATAACAAAATAACTTCAATAAACATTCCAGCGCCGGATAACGAGCGAATTCGTCGGACGTTATCAAGTTATTGTCAACACGTAATAATCACCAGAATAATTACAATTCCTGATTTCAGGGTACCAAGACAACATCACGTGCACCACTGATAACCCTCAGGACCGAGAATCCGATGGAGAAAATGATCAGAAATATTAATAGCTGTCGAAGAAGAGATGAAAGAACGAGAACGAATAAACCAGTGATGGTTAATGAATTCAGCGGAATTGATCTCCGTTCACACCCACTGGTCTGAGAGCTAACATTTTTGGAAATCTCGGAATCACTGAATCATCACTCCAGCTCCATCAACTCAGAAATACTGGAAAACTTCTCACAACAAATTACTGATAACATAACGGTCTTCGTAACAGGGGAAAAGTGTTTTTCATGACACTCTTCAATCACCTCATGACCCCAATAGTTTTTGCCAATAGTTCTTGTCAATAGTATTTTTTACCTCGATACTTGTTTCCTTCCTCATCCCCGCGGTCATGAAACTATTAATTTTCCCCAGGAATATGACATTCTCCATGTAGTTAATATTGTCAGAAGAAAATGTCCAGAATAAATGGCTGTTGCTAAATTAATTTAGTTCTCTAAAGAAAATTTGGTTGTAAATCCACTAGGATTTCTTTCTCTCAGTGGATATAATTATTCGCAATTTGCAATATGATTCTCTTGTAATTAGTGAAATTACATGGGACAAGGTATTATTTTGTGTTGTGTATCTTTTTCAATCGCATTTTTGCTGACTAGTCTTTCCGTGAGACGTATATTGAACTCTGATATTATTATCTAACAAATAACTAGAAACGGAATTATTTAACTTGAATTTCATATTATTTAAAAATGAAATTATATCCGAAGTTGAATTTCCTCAAATCTGAGATAATTAAATTTGATAAATTGATGAGAGAAATTAATTCACTGATAACAATGACAGATTTTTATAATTTTTTAATTGATGAGTTACGAATTATGAGATATAATTAATGAATTATTATTTATAAGTAAATGTCTGTTTTTAATGTATTGATTTCAGGGGAATAATTTGAATTTTGGATTGCCAGAAAGACTGAGTATGAATATAACCGAAGGAAGAAGGGAAGACAGTCTCATCCCATTGAACTTCATCTAATTAAATTAACCCGAGACACCAATGCCTCGAATGAGTAAAACTGTACAACTTCTACACTTTTCTTCTTTCTTACCCGACGCGTGCCAAATCGGTTAATTGGAGTAATACTCGTAATCTCTCTTATCTAATTTCATTCGGTATAGATTTTTTTAGAACAGATTCTCTCCGCCGATCCTCTGCCCTCAATAAACCCCCAATGAATTTATCACGATAACACCAGCTGGAAAAATTATTAAACACCTGGAAGATTTCAATAAAATTTATTTACAACCTAGAGAGGACAAATTTTTGATATGCCAATACGATTAGATAAAACCGGTTGCGTGAGCAATTCACTGATAAATGTCGACTCGAAAATCATTTCTCCGTTCTTATTTGCGATGTTTAATTTGTGCAAAAAAAAATCACCGGTGATAGATTAAAAAATTCATTTACAATGAAAAATTCGCCTCGATGCGCCGAAGGTAATTGCGACATTTATTGTTATTGGTTATCGAACTCTGGATATTGTGCATTAACTTGTTATTTATTGCTACGTAATAATACTCTTTCGTCGCGGTTTCTTGGGATTTCATTTTATTTGCATGCGATTAAATATTATTCATTCATAGTTGCTAACGTGAGGAGGAAGTACCGAGATTAATGAACATTTCATTCAAAGTCAATTGCAATAAATCTGCGCTTCGTAAATGATAGTCTGCCCCAAGCATCTTCGGAATTAACATTTTTATTCGATAATTTATGTGTTTACCCGAATTTTTTTATGGAGACAACCGGAACCGTAAAGTCTTCAAGTTTTAGTTTTTATTTCGAAGGTTCGGATCAGAATGCCAATGACGGAATAATTTAAGTGTTATTTACTTATATTTCAATTCTGCGGTAATCGGATAATTTGCTGGAGATAATTGTGAGTGGAAAAATTATCGTAATGGGTGAATAAATGATTTTTATGAAATTTTCGTCTCAACATTGAATCGGAATCGGAACGTGAACGCAATAGAAAGTCAATGTCAGAGCTTTGGATCGAGAACGTTTCCTCAGTTATTCATTAAACATCCGATAAGATTAAATAAAATGAATCGAAGAAATTTATGAATTTTTCTACTGGCTGTTCTACTCACCGCGCGTTCGAGAATTTTTTCAATTTTAAAAATAAGTAAACCTGTTCATGGGGATCCGGTTGATGAAGATATAGAGGTTAGTTTTTTGAATATAGTTTTTCTGCATTTACAGAAATCTCAGCAGCAACGTGATCACGAGAAATATGTTCAGAAAAAATACTGTTTATCTTCTCCAAAAAAAAACTCGTTGAATTCTATTGAAAATCATAAAAATGTAAATTGCCAATCGATACGACTATCTCCAAGGAGTACATCATCGTCTGTTTTTTCCATTATTGCTGCAAAAAATTGGATTTTTACTGTTAATTGAGGTGAGCATGAATCCCCGTGACTCCGAGACTAATTGCTTTTCCATTATTGTCAGTCAATTACTCATCTATCAACGTGTTAGAGATCTGTTGAAACATCCAACGTAATGCCATCCGAATTTTCCATTACCTGAGGTCAAATTGAATTTTTAATTTATCATAATGCGTCCGCCACAAAAATCTATCGTTTTTAAATGAATTCAATTCAATTTGAACACAGAATAAACATTAATTGAAATCATAGCGTATGGGTCAGAGAATCTACAATTAATTGAATATTTTTATAATCATTAATTCGTCAATGGAGAATTCTCCGAAATGTCATGGCTACTCCGCAATGAAATCACATTAATGAAATTTGTGAAGTCATGGGATTTAACGAACGTCAAATAATTTTATTTAATAAAATTATTTGAAATCATTGGGTCATAATATTGATAACAAATAACTCCTCGACCCGAACTTAAATATTTTGACTCTCACTACCCCACGCTTTCTGAATGTGTTATAAATAATTTCAATTCATAAATTTCTTAAACAAACTTCCCGGACATGTACTACAAAATTTAGTATTTGTATTTTTTTCCTGGATTGGAATTCTGTGCAAGAGTGCAAGTGGAGGTATCCTAATTTCTACCAGCATTCCCCTGCTGTCACACATTTAGCGTTTTTCGAATACCTCAATACCACAGATTATTTACCATTGGCAAAAGAACGAACTCTCCCTGCCCGGGGCTTTTCCACGACAGCCTGTACCACCGTGTAAAAAATAACGGTAGACCAATGACACCACGAGCATAACTATCCTAGGATCCCCCAGGCTCTGCCATCAACTGGTCTCATTCACATTTCCAATTCACCTGATAACCAGCGAGCCGAGCCTTCCATCGCACACACCCCAGAACTTTAAATAAAAAATAACAACCCGTTGATGATTAATATAAACGCAAAAGCTGATGCCAGACGACCAGTAAAGCAATTCATAAATTGCTGATTACGTGTGATAATAGAATTTATCACAGATGAGAGACACCGCGTAGATAAAAATGTAATTAAAGAATCAGAGACGATATATTCAATGTCAATTTGCCCCCGGGAGGTGGGGGATTGAGGATCGATGACCTGTGTGTCTTTCAGTTGGGACTTGAGAGGAATTCTTGTAATTGAGCTGTCGATAATGGGTCGTCTGGCTAAATAACATAAATAAATAAATAATAACTCAGAATGAAAAATTGAAAATTTCCACAGCTGTGAAATAGTATCAGCTAAATAATTCACCGAGTGTTCCAGAAACAGAATGCCACCCCAGATGAGGGGAAAAATACTACCTATATGTACACCTCTCACATGGATACACAGGTATAACTATACGCGCATTCCTTAGGTGGAACGTCGCTGCGATCGTTTCTACAGGTAACTCGAAGGTTGTTTGTGTTCGTGACTTCCACCTGTTAAAAACTCGCTTGAGAAAGAAGCCGAGGATGATGCGAACCGTGACCAACCAAAAATAAATCCCAGGACGCATCACCAGAAGCCCCCAGATCACTCAATATTCATCAATCATATAAAACAACTGAAATAATTCAATATGGCAGGTGTTCCATTCTCCACCGACGAATGAAACATCCAGAAACTTTCTACAATAATTCAATCATAAAAATAGAACTCACCACGAATTACTCATAACAACAAGTCATCTGGTATTTTATCAAACAGCAGCACTATCATCACTTGGTTTCAGATTCCAGGGAGAATAATTACCGACGTAAACAGCTCTCGTTGGAATTCCAGGGTGGTATCAGTGATATCGGTGGTATTGGATTAATGAATAAATGAGAGAATATCTCATTGATATTTTCTACACTCAGTGAAATCACTCGTCCACATCGTTTCACTGAAAATTTTCAACAGTTTTAGTGGTACGTTCACTGATTATGAGTTTGTAATGTCTTGGTGACGCGTGCTGGTACATAGAGTGCAAGTCTTAGCCATCGGCGTTGGCCACAGCAACATAACTGGACACTGGTTTGGGTAGGGGCAACTCTCCAACCGTACAAGCGAATCAACGAGGAAGGGAGACGAACTGTACGAGGCCTTTCCTTTCTCCACTCAGACAGGGCTAAAGAGGGAAAAAAGGTTCTCAAGGAGGTGGGCTTTGCTATAATACATGGTAGGCGTAGGTGGCCCAGGTCAGTCTACCCTGTCCAATACCTCGGTACAACCCTCGGTATAATCAACCCAAACATCATTTTAAATACCCGACGTATCTAAGTAAATGAGGAAATAAGGAAATTAGGAAATAAGGAAATAAGGAAATAAGGTAATAAGGAAATGGGGAAATAAATCCAGACATCGATGTCCCTCGTTAATCAATCAATTATAATGATTAGATGATTTTGAAGGCACTTCAAGGCTGTCTTGATCGAACTTTGAAAATGCATTGTAAAGTCCAATTGTCATCGCTGTCTCGTCAGTTAATTGTTATAGTCATTGTCAGTCATTGTCAATGGCTGATTGAAACGAGGAAAATGCGGGAAAAATGTGGCAATTGCACGGTGACAGGACTGATGTTGCACGCGGGAATGAACGTACAGTTAAGATGCCGGTAAATTAATGCTGTTTAGATGACAATAAAGCTAGGCTACATAAATCGTACAATACTTTGTAAGTTGGCTTGCACTGACAACGGTATCGACACGCCATTTAGTTAACTGTCTTCTTGTCTATGGGATACCGTGGACAACTGGTATTATATGCGAGGTATCCTTTGTGGTGATTCAAATTGGTGGATAACATAATCAAGTCAATTATAAGACGCTCTTTATTATTATTTATATTCGTCGAGCGTTCTCTGGGGTCTCAAGGTGAACGCATCGTGGAATGAATAATGGAGGGCATTATGATGGGGATTTGAGATGGCAAAATGAAATAAAAATTTCACGATTCACTCGTGGAAGGTCGTACTGGTCTGCCCAGCAAGAACAACCTGGTCCAGTTGAACTTGATGACATTGATTTTACAACTCCAGTTCTACAGCCATCATATATTCTCCATCTCTCCTTTCATTCTAGAATCTTCCACACGATTTGCATGTCTAATAGTCTTGGAATTTGTGACGTTGGTCACGTAAATGCAGTGGATATATTGTAACACTGGCATTTCTAGGTAGACGTGATATTAATGATCAGGTTTCTGGTTTGTTCTCTAAATATTCTCCCCTAATGATACCTGTACAAGTGGTGCTGTGACAGACGACGTGAAAATTACTCAGCATCACTGCATCGTAATGAAGACTCGAAGAAATATGGAGAAAAAAGGGAATTATTCTTGTGATTGCACGTCTCGCAGGTTTCTGGAAGTCGCCCGGTGATGTTTTGAAAAAAAATTATCACCGATAAATAGTCAGACGTTTCTGGTGGATGATGTGCGGTAATGCATGCAATTAAATAAGAGGAATGTTCAAGTGTGTGAAAATGATGCGTGGTCGTGGATGCTGAGAATGGATAGGAACCATCCAGTAATGCAGCCACGGAATTACACAACTTATCGTGCAATTGAGGTCAATAGTATTGCGCACTGGGCGATTAATCGCTCCTATCTGCTGAGTCTAGTACCATCGTCTGCAGCTTTTATCTGCTGTACCACGACTGGCATCTTGGGGCATTAAATCCAATCATTTCAAGTTTAAAATGGTCATCGAATTGTCAATAATAATCCTCGGGGTTTAAAAATTAACTGCCATTTAACGACTTCTGGAAATTTCGTCAAAAATAGCTGTGGAAATTTTCTTATGGTACTTTCTCTTGTAATATATCTCTCAATTAGAATTTATTGAGGAAGAAATTTATGGAAACGTATATTTCCTCCGGCTGTACAAATATTCAAATATTCAAATGTCTTTCTCCCGCATTCGTCAATACACATTGAGTTTGCAAATACACATCGATTCTTTGAATTTATTTATGTTGATAAGAGGCCCTGCCTTTATCGACAATTTTGCTAGAAATGGGTATTTTTTTGAATACATTCTTTTCCTCGATCGAGGCAACAATTCACGCCGACTTGAAGCCCTGGGGATTTCGCTGCTGCCAATTCCAAGTATCTGCACCTATCGGAAAAAAGATATTCATAGAACAGAATACAACCCAATTAATTCAAAGATAAAAAGTAATGAAGAACATGAAGACATAAATGATTTTCCCCCAGTGCATGTCATTGAGAGAAGTAAGTCTCTCAAATGATTGGTAACACTTACACATGTCATCAATATTTTTCGTGGCAAACCATTTGAACTCTTTATTGGCTATCGATGCATCAGCATAACTCGACGCAATATCTCCAGCTCTGCGTTCCGCAAATTTGAAGGGTATTTTCTTGCCAGAGGCCTTTTCAAACGCGGCAATCATCTCCAAAACGGAAAATCCCTTTCCAGTTCCTAAATTGACAGCTTTAAAACCCTTGGAATCACTTGTACTTTGATGAATAATAGCCTTGACGTGTCCATTTGCAAGATCCATAATGTGAATATAATCTCTGACGCCTGATTAAAGCAAAGCCTCGTAAATATATCGTATAAAAAGGGAAAGTCCCAGGTTTTATATAATCTATTTAGCTTCCCGTATTGCCGGAAGGCCTTTCCAAATGATAAAACTCACCAGTCCCATCCGGCGTACTGTAATCATTGCCATAAACACACAGCATCTCTCGTTTGCCAACTGCCACTTGAGCAATGAACGGCATGAGATTGTTTGGGATTCCATTGGGGTCCTCGCCAATTTCACCAGACGGATGAGCTCCAACGGGATTGAAATACCTCAGCGATATCACGGACCAGCTCTAATGAAATCAGTGATTGAACGAAGAGAATGGTTTCATGAATATTAAAATATCGTGGTAATAATGAGAAAGGTACTTTATCCGATTGACATAAGTCCTTGAGAATCTCCTCAACCATGAACTTGGTCTTCCCATAGGGATTAGTGCACTGCCCTGTCTCCATGTCTTCAGTCAAGGGCAGCTGCTTCGGTATTCCGTAAACAGTTGCACTGCTCGAGTAGATGAAATTCTTTACATTATTCTCCCTCATCACTTCCAGCAAATTTATCGTCCCTCCGACATTGGTTTTGTAATATTCCAGCGGTTTTTCGCACGACTCCCCAACGGCTTTCAACGCCGCAAAGTGAATGACGCATTGGAATTTATGCTGAAGATAGAATAATCAGAAATCCCATTCACCTGATAATCCCGGGTGATACTCACTCTTTTAAAAACTCCCTCAACGGCCTTCTTATCCGTAATATCACACTCTTCAAATATTATCTTCTTTTTCGATAATTTTTCAACCCGCAAAATGCATTCCGGCTTCTCAGCTTTGTCCCCTGCGAGCATAAGCATTTTCTAATCACAACGAAACATCTGAACAATAAACTCTGGGCTATTGTGTGAGTCATACCTTTGTAGGCATTACCGAGATTATCAATAACCACCACCTCAAAATTCTCGTTAAGAAGTTCCAGTACTGTGTGAGAACCAATGTAACCAGCACCCCCCGTCACCAGTACATTCCATTTACTCGCCATATTTTCCGGATGTATTATATTACCGCGTTATTGCACGCTGATTAAGCTAGCGAAAAATTTGTTATTGTACTTTGAGTTGACCTTGACATTAGTGTGCAGTGTATGCACCAGAGTAATTGATTTTTCTGAGATTAAGTATTTATACAGAGCCCGATGACTTTTCCCCGATTTATCTTCATTCAAATATTCCTCCTGAGAGGTATGACCTTGGCACCTCCAGCAGATCAAGGGGAAATTACCGCAAATAATATTACTCTAATAAAAATATAGTACTAATTGAAGGGGTAGGACAGGCAGTATATTTGCTTGGGGATACATATTATGCAAAAATGGATACAAAGAGGAGAGAATAGAAATAAATAAAAAGTGACGTGAAGGATATGTGACTAACCTCTCTCGGTGATAATTCGGAGCAGACTGACACGTCTTATCATAGACTTGTGTCAACGAATGGCATTTGATCGTTTGATTGTTACATAACGAATGACAAGTTCAAGATAATCATTCACCAAATCTCTGGTACAATTTGCAGTACCTCACCAGATCCTGCTGCCAATGCAGCCTTTAACCTCAGATGTCCAAGGGCATCAACGTGTCCCCAAAAATTTCGGGGCCTCACCCACTCCTCAAGAGACCCCCACGCATTTCCTTCATGTCATTCTGACAGGAGTCATCGATTTCTATTTCTCGTTATTTCGAGTATTTTTCAAACTACAAAAAAAATATGATGAAAATGCGGACGTGCAGGAGCAATCCGCCATCTCCAGTCAATCACTCAGACTGTAAAAATTATTCGCTGTCGATAGTGCGACTTTTGTGATACGTCAGTGTCATCTGGCGGGAAAAATTCAAAAAACCCGGGGCGTGCCGCCTGTTATTGCGTCACGAGAGAAACTCCGTTTTTCCAACATTACTACATACTACACTACATGCGGCCATTTTAATGTTCGCGTAGTTATACCAGAAAGTAGAGCCGCACCTCCACGACATTTCGGCGTTTGAAATGAGTTTGTGAATTTTGGAGTGTTCTTTTTGTTCGGATCACTGGAACACTTGGAATTTCTCCTGATAATTTGGAGTTGTGTTGTGTAATTTGTGGGATAGGCTCGTGGAGGCTTGGGGATCTTGGGGATTTTGAATTTTCAAATTATCGGGACTACTTGGATATGAAAAAAGGGGTATGGGATGTGGTCATCGTGAGCGTCGTACCGCAATCCGGCGAACCTGTTTTGTGTTCGTAGACTGACGGTAGAATTGGAACGCAAGTTGTTTATCCGCTCGATGGCACCTTGCCCTGCCCATTTTCCCGGTGTTAAATAATCACTGGATAATTCATAATTTTGGCAGCTCATATGCATTTGTTATCAGCTAGCTGGTGAATTTATTGAGGGTCCTGGATATATACTCTGGAGATACGACTTGAGGTAAGTAGCATCACCTTATTTTTTAAAGAATCCATTTACAATTAACGGAACAATCGCATTTGGATTACTCCAGGCTATTTATGATTCAACTGCATGCAACAATTTTTAACAATTTTTGAGATTGTCGATAGGTGAAAGTTGACGTTTCTCAGAGTTTCCCCTGTTGATGAGATAAATCTCTGGTCATTGTTGGGATTTAGACTCCGTGAAGTGCAGGTGCTTTCTTATATTTCTCACCTTTCTTCTAGCTGTTGTGGAAAAAAATATTGGGTTTTGGCCGAAGTCCCAGTGGAATTGAATTGACGACGTGAAATCGATGGAGACGTGACACATTTGTTTGATTTGATTTATTTTCATTTCGAGTCTTGAGATAAGGTACGCGCAAAGTGTGTGTACATTACCTGTGACTTTTTTCTCTCTTTCATTTGTTTACTCCGGGATTCTGTTTACCATTGAGATTATTTCGGTCAGTGACTGCATGAATTAGGTAATATCGCAGTAGATCGATGTCTAGCGTCAGCTAAATTTTGTGATGACGATAGGGATACTGTTTTTGGGGCCCGAATGTGTGTCAGACGTCGGGAAAATCGTCGACGATTTTCTTTGCAATGTCCTTTATTTACATTTGTTGCCTGTTGCACGTGCGATATTGATGTTTGTGGAGGGTAGATAACCTTCTTGCACAGATAGCCGTTATAAACGAGACCATTGCCACAGGTGCAACGCCTCATTTCCCTAAACATTTCTTCGGGACCTGTTGTGTAACCTCGCCCATAAATACCCAAATCGTGACATTGAAGAACAGATTTGTCCAAAATCCATTAAAATTTCAATGAATTCTTCATCTTATCAGCAGTTCCTCCCCATTACCTTTCCCATCCTTATCTCCGATATCTACAATTTTATGGCATTCCTCATGACATATTTGTCATCGTCATAATGACTATTCCCCGGATACCACAGGAATTTCATAAAAATCGTAACAACCTGACCCGCGGGACAATCCAAACAATTGCCCAATGACCCCAATTAAAACCACTTGTCTGGGATTCGTAACATGGAATGAACGATGAATTTACACCACTCCGTAATCTCTCAAATCTGATTTCATTCAATGTCATAAACTCCATAAGGTCACGACCGCTGTCATTTCCCTATCATAATCAGCAGTAGACCAATTAACAATTTAATGGGAGTATGGTGGAGTATCAAAATTGTATGAATACCATTCTTGGACTGATCTCCAAATTAATGACAACATTGACTCACCTCTTTCCCCCCATGATACATATTTATCCGGACGGAAATACCTAGCGTGCTTTTATTTATGCCTTTGTTACGACCGAGAGATGAAGCACGCACATAATTCATTGCTTGAATTCTCACTAGAATGTTTACCCATTGTCCGAGGGCTTACGAATATTCCCGCAATTGTGAGGTCATAGAAAATCTTCCAGATGTGGAGAATAACGCGAGACGTCGGGAGTATTCGTCAGAAAGGTTTCTTCAATGAATGGTAGGGCTCGGTAATCGGTTTATCGAGCACTTCGTCACGACTTGGTGCCACGACACGATAGGTACTGTGACCCCAGGCTTTGATAAACCCTCGTCTAACCCAATTATTCTTCATTTCTTTCTCCATGCTAATTAACAGCAATCTAGAAATAAAAAAAAAACAAGTGGAATTGTCTGAGAAAGACAGTTGCGTAGGAAGAGAAAGGAAAATTGCTTACTACATCGTGACTATTGTAACAATGAACTTGGGAGGGCACTTGGTGCCCCTTGGATACCCCAAATCATCCGACTGCACTTCCTTTTTATTTTTCTCATTCCATCATCCGCTCTTTCACCTGCACGTGCGCCCTTCATCACACCATAATTCAATGGGGTAATTAAATTCAGAGGACGAGGGTTTATTTTTCTTTTACACGTTTCATCACCTGCATTTACATGAAACATTGTCGTATTGATCGCGAGGGGTGAAACCCCCGGCTTTTTTTTTTTCTTTTTCATTTTACGAGAAAATAATGTATGGCGAAAAGGGAACAAATGCGTTACATCATCAGATGCGTTAAGTCTAGGTGTTCTACACATTTAGCCGTTGATTTGTTAAAGGCCACCCAGTTTAAAAGCAATGATGACGGCATCTCTGTGCTGCTGCTATTGAATTCAATTTGACAGCTCAATGGGTCAAATGTCTTTTTTGGGAATGTGGAAAATAGAATTCAATCGAATGGGAATGTGTCGTCTCACTGGAGTTAAATTTCAATTTGTTCGAGACTGGAATTATAATTGTGGATTTTATTCTGAATTATGCTCGTGGAATTAAATATACCCTTCACCGTGCAATTGCGTAATTCATGAAATTATTATTTATCCGAGAATCGGCCGACAACTGACTCATGCAATTGTCATCGAGTGGAGAACACAGCTGAGTAATATCTCTTTTTATCCCACCCTTTCCTTTCTTTCCTCTATATTCAATTCACTTCTCAATGACTGGCGAGTAAATTTAATTCATCCGCCCACTGACACATACCCTGTGCGTACGCTCAAGCCAATGGATAATTGACGTCAATTTAATGTATCGTGGGATTAAAAGGCAATGGCAAAAATCTCTCCACTTTTCTCTCTCGAGTTTTAATCGTATAATGCAGCTGGATTAATGTTTGCGAGGGAAATACATTTTTTTTTTGCATTAATTAGTTCATTCACCTGTTGAGAGACACCTGGAGTCGCTTCGGGTTATCTGCGTTCTCTTAATTGAGAAAAAATAAGAAAACAATGGGGAAAAACTGATTTTTGATTGATCTGTTCCCTGCAGAAGACAACGCGAAGGAAAAATGCCGGAGGAGCGGAAATCTAGCGCCAGTCCGGCTGACATAATGGCGGAAAATGGCACAAATTCACCGAGCAAAAGTCCTGTTAATAAGGGCAAACTGGCACTCGCTAAAATTACTCTGCTGGATGGCACTGTGAAAGATTTTTATGTCGATGTAAGTTCAACTTGGCGCCTGCATTCTGTGATAAATCTGCTATAACAAATTTATTGATTACAGAGGAAAGCCAAGGGTCAGGAGCTGCTGGATCAAATATGCCAGAGTATGAATCTCCTGGAGAAAGATTACTTCGGCCTCGTCTACGAGGACAAACACGATCCCCGGAATTGGCTCGATCTCGACAGGAGAATTGGAAAATTCATAAAAAATGAACCGTGGACATTCAGTTTTGAGGTGAAATTTTATCCACCAGATCCATCCCAGCTCCAGGAAGATATAACTCGTTACCAGTTGTGTCTTCAAATTCGTAATGATATAATTACCGGTCGCCTTCCGTGCTCCTTCGTTACACATGCACTCTTGGGGTCTTATCTGGTACAATCGGAAGTGGGTGATTATGATCCTGAGGAGCACGGCGAGAATGGATTGTACCTGAAGGATTTCAAATTCGCTCCCAATCAGACACCTGAGCTCATTCAGAAAGTGGTGGATCTTCACAGAACGCATAGAGGTCAAACGCCAGCTGAGGCGGAGCTTCATTATCTCGAGAATGCAAAAAAATTGGCAATGTATGGAGTTGATCTTCATCCTGCTAAGGACTCCGAAGGTGTTGACATTATGCTAGGTGTTTGTTCTTCCGGTTTACTCGTCCACAGGGACAGATTGAGAATTAATCGTTTTGCATGGCCTAAAATACTCAAAATTTCGTACAAGAGGCACAATTTTTACATCAAGATAAGACCTGGTGAGTTCGAGCAGTACGAATCGACTATTGGGTTTAAATTAGCTAATCACAGAGCAGCGAAAAAATTATGGAAAGTTTCCGTGGAGCATCACACGTTCTTCCGGTGGGTACAATCATTATCAACCTCTCGATTTCACTATTCTATAAATGATTCTATTGATGATTCATTTATTTTCAGACTGATGAGCCCAGATCCAGTGAAGAAAGTAGGACTTTTGCCTCATCTGGGCTCACGCTTCCGATACTCTGGACGAACGCATTACGAAACTAAAAAAATACCAATCGAACGACAACCCCCGCAATTCGAACGATCACTCAGTGGTAGGCGCATAACATCCCGCAGCATGGATGGTAATTTCTGCCCAAAAACAGTGGCAATAATCCAATTATTTGCATTAACAATTAAACTATTAAACCGATACTGTTGTAGCCTTAGGTGGAACGAGACCAGTGGATTCATATGGATCTGAACCCAGCAAACGTCACACCATGAGTTACGAGCCTGAAATAATTCCAGACATGGAGCACATCGACCAACGGCCTAGTCCCATTAAAAATAAAAAAGACAAAGTGAGCATTAACTCTCCTCCACACCCAACAGTTAGGATAATGCTAGATTTCAATTAGTTTCAACGAATTATTGACAAATGAGAAGTGATTGTTGCGATTTGAAGAATTCATTGACATGTTTAAAGCGGTCTACGCTTTCAAAAGTGAACAAGTCGCATTTATTTAATGTACAGTTGGTGTACGTCGCATGCCACAGTAGGCGCATTTCGTGTTGATGAGATTTTAGAGATGATCTCGTTTTTACTAAACTCAGTCGAAAACCATCACAACATTCATCAGCACATTACTGAAGCTTATCATAACCAAGGAATAATTATTTTCAGGGCTTGGAGCGGGTGGATTATCTTCCCAATGGAATCTAGATTTTTTTTCTTGGGGTTTTTAATCTTAAATTCTGGGGAGGGGCCGAGGTCATGACGATTTCCATATGAATATATAATGGTCGATAAAATAATCTGATTTTCATATCTTCAATCAAAAATGAAAGAAAAAGTTTGGAGAAAAAACGAGAAGAGAAGAGAACAAAATCCAAATTCTAATTCTTATAATATAATGCTGTCTGAAAAATAGAGAGAAAATTTAATTTATTTCGGGGAATTTCAGACAAAAAAAAAACTACAAAAACCCATCTAGATCATTGGAAAGATAATTTAACCGAGCCCTAATCTATTATCACAATCAGTAACAATGTCTCACTCATGTTAATTAACTGACACGTAACTAACACCGATAGCTCACTCGAAAAACAAGTGTTGGGACAACCTCGGCCAGCAGTGCCAGTAGCCTGGAGGGTGAATATTACGCGGAGCGTCCCGAAAAGGTATTGAATCATCACTCATTTGCCCTTCCAACAGCCCAATCATCCTACCACCCACCTGGACCACCGAGGACGTCTTCGTGTCTTCCAAGAAGCATGCCCATGAATAATCCTACATTTTCCAATCACCCCAAATCCCTCTCATCCCCGCTATAACTTTTCGCTGAATTCGGTTGAAATTACGGTTCATCGCCTGTGGCTATTCATTGGAACGATTTAATTGTACCTTCTCAATTTTTCATGTGACGTATTCAAAGTACTATTCCGGCACCATTATTGGGAGCGCAGACCGTTGATTTTGAGGCATGCCACGCACGTTTATCGTGTGTTTTTAAAATCTAGAGTGAAAAATTCAAGGGTAATTCGATGCGAATTCCAGAAATATGAATTCCCTCGAATGCTTGCTGATTATATCGACTAGTTAACCTCGACCACTTCGCTAAAATGTACTTCTCTTCAACTACACGCTTTTTCTTGCGGAAGTCAATTCTTTGTAAATAGATAAATATTATTGTACTGATAAGGTATCCCAGTAGTTCGAGCTTGAGCTTAACTGTCAGCAGGAACTCGCGTGCATGATGGCTTTTATGATTTTAAGTTCTTTTTGTTATTCTTTATCACATTGTAGAAACCAATTGGGGGTATTGCTGTATTGCCACCCGGTGGCCTTACGAAAAAGAACAAGGACAAGCAAAACGAGAATGAGAAGGAAAATCACAATGATCTTAACACGTCTGATTTGATAAACGACGGTACGTCTGTCGATGAGAAAACATTGAGTAATAAGAAGAGTAAGAAGAAAGATAAGGAAAGTCCGGAGAAACGGGATGCCGACAAAAAGGAGAAGATCAAGGTGAGCAATTATTCGTAATTATCCCATTGCTATTGCAAGTATATTATCAAGTTGATTGTGTTTGAAGTTGAATTGTCGATCCCAATAATTTTGTATTCGATTGTAGCTTGATAATTATGTAGTTCCATGAACGATTCCCCCGTAGACTTTAGTAATTATAAAGTAGCATGTACTGCACGTATGTTTTATTATCCTGAAAGATTCCTGTCGGTGGTTTTCTATTTGGAAAACGTGACAAGGAGCCAAAGGACAAGAAGCAAAAGAAGAACAAAGACCTCGACGATTCAATTGATCCGAGTGACGAGTCAAATTTGTCAGTGTCATCAAGACAGCCACAGCCTGTTGAGCCCATGCAGACATCCCCTGAGTCTGCAACATTACCTGGCTACACAAAACCGTATAACTACGTAGAGAACGAGGCAGCACCAACGAAAAAGCCTTACACACCCCACGGATTCTCGTACGAGGACAGATCGACATCACCCACAGGAACGAAAGAGCCACAGTCTCCCACGTCTGCCAGTAAAAAAGCGACCGGACTTGCCTTCAATTACGCTCCAGGTGAGGCGCAGAAGCTCGCTGAATCTGCGGAGAAGAGAAAGACTAAAGAAGCTATTGGGAACAAAACTCCACCACCACTTCCAACAACTCTTCCTGGTCTCAAGACACCGGGACTCAACTACGTTGAATCCGCTGGGTTGAAGGAGCAGCAGAAGACAGCCCCCCTGGACCTCAACCAGAAAGCGTCAGCAGCGCTGATTGCTGGGGAACAGCAGGGGGACATTGCAGCCTCCAAACCCGGGGCCATAATCCCATCGACTGTAGATAAAGGACCGCATCACTGGGTGCTACCATTGCCAGAGGGTACAGTTGTGATTGGGGGGATAATTTATGCGACTGCCAAGGGAAAACCGCATGATCAGAGCTCCTTGGGTCCAGATGGAAATAAAATAATCGATGGAAGAGTGTGTGGAAAGGATGGGAAACCCCTGAAAAAGGGGGAATTCGGCCCTCAGGGCCTGCATATTGCTAATGGCCTGGTGGTGGGGAAGGATGGGAAGCCTCTGAATCAATCTGGCATCGGAACAAATTATCACTCAATCGAGAATGGAGTTATCTGCGGAGATAATCATCGGCCACTCAATGAGAGTTCCTTGGGGCCGGAGCATTGTCTGATAAAGGAGGGAAAGATCGTGGGAAAAAATGGAAAACCCATCACCCTTGATAAACTCGGGGCTGACGGCAGCTCCATCAAGGACGGCCTGATATTCTCCGATAATGGCAAGCCACTGACTCAGGGCTCGTACGGTACAGAGGGATATTACATCGTTGGAGGAATTGTTTGTGCTCACAATGGCAAATCAATCAATCAAATGGCACTTTTACCGGATGCAACGTATGTCTCCAGTGGTTTAATCTATGGGCGTGACGGTAAACTACTGTCCAGTGGAGATATAGGGCACGAGGGTAATTACGTGACTGAGGGAAAAGTTCATGGAAAGGATGGGAAACCAGTGAAGAACGAGGCGTTCACCTCGGAGGGAGCATTTGTGAAGGAAGGGGTTGTCTATAATAAAGAGGGAAAACTTTTGAATCAGGGGTCTTTGCTGCCGAATGGGGCACACCTCAAGGATGGAAAAGTCGTCGGTGTCGATGGCAAGAGCATAAAGCACGCCTTCTTCAAGAGCGACGGTAGCTTCGTTAAAGACGGAATTATTTACGGAAAAGATGGAAGACCTCTCAATCGAATTCCATTAATTTCCGAGGGTAGTTTTATCAAAGAGGGAATTATTCATGATAGGAATGGAAAACCTCTCACCCAGAATCTCTTCAAGCCTGATTGCATTGTCATTCGTGATGGGGTCATTTGTGATGCAGCGGGCAAACATCTGGCTCATGGATTCCTCGGGGATAATTTAATCATCAAGGATGGAGTGGTGCTGGGGAGGGACGGAAAACCCGTCAAGCAGGAGTCCTTCGGTTCCAATGGTTCTACCATCAAAAAGGGCGTAATCTTTGCGAAGAATGGAAAGCCATTGAATCAGGACTCTCTCGTGCCGGATGGAGTCTCCATCAAGGATGGAAAAGTGTGCAATAGAGATGGAAAGCCAATTAAATTGTGTTTCTTCAAGTCTGACGGCAGTTTCGTCAAGGACGGCCAGATTTACGGAAGGGATGGCAAACCATTGAACCTGAGCTCTTCATTACCAGCTGATTGTTACATTCAGAATGGTGTAGTCTTCGATCATACTGGAAATCCTCTGACCAATAGCATATTTGGGGCTGATGGCTCGTACGTATCTGCTGGCCTGGTGCACGACAAAGACGGTAATGTAATCAAGGAGGGTATTTTCGGGCCCGATGGAAATAAAATCAGAGACGGCCTGGTGATCGGAAGAGATGGCAAACCATTGACTCAAGACGACAGGGGCCCCGACAATATCGCTGTTCTCGAGGGAAAAATTGTTGATGTCAGTGGAGCACCGAAGAATCTCGCGTCACTAATTCCAGATGGCTGTTACCTTCGCGATGGTGTGGTTTACGATGGCCACGGGAAGCCTCTGAAGCAGGGGGCATTCAGGCCGGATGGAGCGTACATCCGTGATGGACTTATTTACAGCTGGGGGGGAACCCTCCTGAACGCCGGCAGTCCAATTCCTCAAGACTACTACGTCCAGCAGGGCAGGATATACGGTAAAGACGATAAACCAATGAATCACAGCTCCTTCGGGCCCGATGGGTCTTTCGTGCAGAATGGGTACGTCTACGACAAGGATATGAAACCACTGAACCATGGAATATTTGGGAATGAGGGTGATTACATCCAGGATGGCGAAGTTTACGGACCAGATGGAAAGCCTCTAAATAAAAAACAGACAACAACTATCACCATTAGTCTTGTGAGGTACGGGCTGATGTGTGGGAATGATGGGAAACCCATTGTATCCGGACCATTCGATAATTCAGGGAATACGATAAAAAATGGAAGGATATACGACAAAAATGGAAAACCGTTGAATCTCGAGTCGTTCGGGTCTTATGGTCAGTCTGTTAAGAATGGTCTTGTTACTGGGTCTAATGGTAAACCCGTGACCCAGGGGCCTCTCAAGCCTGAGACTTGTTTCGTTAAAAATGGGAGAGTTTACACCGCAGACGATCAACCCCTCACCCAAGAAGCCTTTGGTCCTGAAGGTCTCAAGGTCAAAGAGGGAGTGATTGTCGATAAAACTGGCAGACCCATAAAACAGACATCTTTTGACAATGAAGGGAATTACGTTAAAGATGGGCTTGTTTATAGTGCAGCTGGAAAACCTCTGGAGAAACGGTTCACCACGACAATTACAATCGTCAAGAGAGGACTTGTTTATGATAGCAGTGGAAAGCCGGTGGAGCACGCGGTGTTTGGGGATGACGGAAGCTTCATCAAGGATGGAAAAGTCTATGGGGCAGATTGTAAACCGTTGAATCAGGGGACCTATGGGGATGATGGTGGGTACATCAGGGAGGGGGTAATCTACGCTAAATCTGGACAGCCTTTGGAGCGTGACCAGTCGTCTACAGGGGCCACTCCAAAAATTACAGCTTCGAAAATTAAGAAGACACTCGTACCTGCTAGTACTCCGACAATTGTCAAAACCACCACCAAACAGTCTGTGGTTAAGGATCAGGAAGGATTGAGGCAGAATATTGAGGAGAAGATCGAAGACCTCACACCTGGAGGCACTGGACAAGTCACTGTCAATACACAAGTCAATAAGGTAACGTCCACCGGTTCCTTTCCTTCTTTCTCCAGTAATCTTGGATCTCTCGATTTTTTACATTTGGTTAAATATCTAGTTATTTGTGCATTAGTTCATTAGTAGTTGTGTATGTAGGCAGATGCACAGGATGATGGTAGAACTCCGTACATGACTGCTACGGCCGTTACAACTCGAACAGCAACGATGCATGAGGATCTTGAGAAAAATCAGAAGACAAGTCAGGTTTGCATCGTTTCATTGATTGATAACTAGTGAATGATGTAGCTATTTATTTGATTCTTTATCTTTCAATGGTGATGTCATGACAGGTCGAGGAAAAGACGGTAGCACATACAACAGCCACCAGTGCTACCAGACAGGAGCAGAGGGTTGTCACCCAGGAAGTCAAGACCACGAGCCATGTACTCACTGGCGAACAGGTAATGCTGATGAATTATTCAATTACTCTGAGTGTTCAAGGACACATTAATTGGAATACATGGGTAGAGCACTTTAGACAAATTTAATCATCAATGCTGTAATAACTCTGCTGCATATCAATCCATGATTCGTATATCGTGGACACTTTGCCATGAGTTTAACATTTACTATTTGCCATTCTATGTCATTTATTCGTTTATATTTATTATTAATTACATTGATTTTTGATATTTCATTATTAAAGCACACATTTGTTTTTAATGATTATTCATGTCATTTAATATTGTATCATTGATAATTATAAATTTTGATGGCTTTGGCTAACACGTTGCATGGCGTAGCTGTTCACACGACGTCTCAGTACATCGAGTTCGAGCAGTGGTGATTCAGGTACACCCATTGACCTTGACGACGATCAACAGGCATTCTACAATCAGTATTATCAGGTAATCCACTCGAACACATCGAATTTAGGTTTTACTTATGCAGCACAGCTGCAGTCGTGGGGGATAATGTTTATTTCGATGATATTATTGATATTGTCAAGGTAATTCTCGATGCGTTAATGTTAATATTTGCATGGAGTGTCAAGTGTCGATTCTTCTGCGTCATCAAATTTCCATGCCCTCCCAAAATGCATGCAGCCAATTTTTATGCATCATTGTCTCCTCATGAAATCAAGATGAACCGTAAGGCTTTAATGATTCCCCCCATAATATATTTTTAAGCTGAAAATTCAGAAGAATAATTCGGACAATTCAGTAGCAAAGTCGTAATAATGAGAAGAGGAGTTCTCGAGGAATATTCCTGAAACTAAAACAGATAACGATTTTTTTGTTATAACCTTTTTTATGGTGCGGAATGAGAGCTACAAAAAAGTATCAGCAAAAATTTCGCTAGCTCGTTTAGATCGGGAGATATTCCTGAAAGACTTGATCCTCGCTGCTGAATCTATTGATATTGCGTTGAATATTTTATTAATTTCGTTGGATTGAAAATTCTCAGGGAGATGCTGGTGCTGTTGCAACAGAAACCCAGATATTCTCAGGTGAACCAGCGAGCAATGTCACAGCAACGAGTACAGTACCACTTGTTGCTACTGAAACGAGAAAAGTTGCACTGGAAAATGACGATGGAAGTTACAGTGTCAGCGGTGAGATAGTGAGCTCCCAAACAATCTCGAGTAAAACTAGAACCGTCGAGACAATTACCGTGAGTATTTATCCTCGAATAATAATTATCCCTGTCTCAACAGCTCGATAATTGCTTAAAATCAATTTTTCAGTATAAAACGGAGAAGGATGGAGTAGTCGAGACCAGAGTGGAGCAAAAAATAACAATACAATCAGACGGAGATCCAGTGGATCACGATCGCGCACTAGCCGAGGCAATCCAAGAGGCAACAGCTATGAATCCAGACATGACAGTAGAAAAGATAGAAATCCAGCAGACATCACAATAATAGATTTTAATCAACCGTTGTACCGAGTTTTCTAGAAAGCCCTGTCTACAAGGTAAACTCAGTCCCGCTATCTCTAAAATCGCTCCTAAAAATTGATAACTTCGACAAAAAGAGAAAGAATAAATCGGCTGAGGCAGTCGCTGAGTGCAAGCTGCAAAAAATCAACGGATAGGCGATAAAATGTTTCTCGATGTCAGAGGAAAATGTCTCGATGCTAGAGAACAAGTTTTTACGTTGAAAAATTCACTCTCTGAGACATTTTTTTTTCTCTGCGCACGCCGATCGCCGCGATATTTCAAATTGAAATGTGTGATAGAATAATCTTCGACACAATTGATGGCTTCTGTTTGGTATTTTATTTCGGATAATTAAGGAAGATTAAACTTGGTGCAACATACGAATTCAATGCATACAACGCAATAATGCGCTTCACTCGAGGGAAAAGTGGGAGAATGTTGCTTCATTGCGATAATCCTGTATAGTATGATTCATAACGTTCGGTATTAGTTTTTTGTTTCACTAGCGGATACCATTGGACATGAATATATAAAATTATAAATGAATATATATTATATTGATGGGAGAAAGGTGTCTGAAGATGGATTGAATATATATGAATATATTATGTATATGTAGGCAGTTTGAAGTGCTAAAATCGTCACGATTGTTCCTGGGCCTAGGGGAAACTTCATGAAATGTCGTGTGACCTGGAGAATCAGTGGAATTATTTACAAACTCAATTTTATTCCATTGAGACTATGGGGAAAGCAATCCAGCGTGTGGATTTTGTCGATTCAAACAGTACATATTAATAATTTAATAACGATTAATTATAGATTCTATTACCAAGAGCAGATTTGCATTGGTCAGCGTATATGTCTAAATCTAGCTGTAGCTTCTGTAGTCATAGGGATGTGTGCGTATGAGATTGTACAATTTTTGTTTATTCGTCTAGATTTATCATACGTTTTTCTTTATTAACGTATTTAATATAGATTGATTTTCTACATAATTATTTCTTCTGGCAGTAAATTTATTTCGCACTTGTTCAAGTGATTGCGTAACCATTGATATATTATTATTTATGAATGGATTTTAACATTGCAATGGGTCTGTGCTACCGCACATAACAACAAAAATGTCATTCGAAGATGTCCAGGTCAAGTCCTTTATTTTTCTACTTTTGCATACTTGTAAGACCTGTAGAATCCTTGGCCAAAATAATTTTTTATTCTCACTGCAGATATGCTCGTTCGAATTATTTTTAACATTCCACGCTTATAGTAATCACCCTTGTGTATTATATCCGTAATTGTATTATCTGATTTTTTTAGCAGAGTCTAGGCTTTACATTAAAATTTTTAGGATAAATGTCACGGTTTCATTGTTTGTATTTGAACTATTTTTGGTTCATTATCGAGCAGTGGTACATCATTGATTATTCTAAATCGATGGGTAACTAAATTCAAGGAAAATGCATTAATTATTAAACGTATATAACACGAGCACGCTGTAATTGTCGAATTAAGAGAGAGAATTAAACACCATTTGTGAATTTTTATATTGAGTTCGAGTATTTTGTTATGATGTGTATGTACTGATACCTGTGGAATGCTGGGCTAACGAGAAGATGTTCAAGATCATTTTTTCTAGCAGCATAATAATATATTATACCAAAATACAATTGAACATTCATTTAATTGCGCGTAGCACATGTCTTACTCTTTTTTTGTGGCTGGGATTGGGGGAAGTCCAGTGCTGTCGATTATTTTTGAAATCCTTCGAGGTGATTGTCTTGCCCTAGATGTTGATCGCCAGAGGGGACGAGGGGTCAGGTGATTATCTCTCTTTCCATGAATCGCTGATACTAGAATCAATGCGAAACATGCAATTTTACGTTAAGAAATAATTGTGGAAGAGTAATAAATAATAAATTATGGAATTACTGCATTTCCAAGGTGGAAAGAGTTGGGATTCTGTCTCTCCACTGATTGCTGATACGCTTATCGATAATTTTGGTCCAGGCTGCTGCTGGAGAATTGCTCGTGACACGGATCGTTTGAATGCCGGGGGCAAATTCAGAGAAGCTAAAATTTTTTAGATATTTAATGTGCAGAACGATTTCGGTGAATATAATATGAAAAAATACTCGTTATGTCGTCGCTGAGGGACAGTTTCGGCCCACATCTCTCCAGTCTCAGCTGTTTCACTTCTTTGAATTTACTCAGGAACCGTCGGGTGACGTCAGTGATGACTTTTCCGTCTAAATTTTCTTCACGCAGGAATTGAATTCATGAATTCTGATAAGTGCAATTTTCCGAGCCCAATGTTTAGGCAATATCTCGGAATTGGAGAAATCTACCGATATTTTCATAGATACCTTTTTTGTAGCTCTGGATTTTTTCAATAAAAAATGTTTCTACAAAAAATGCACTATGTGTCCTCGATGACGAGATATTGACTAAAAATGGTCTTGAAAAATATATTTATCCTAGTTTACGATTTCATTATCAGATTTTGCTCTGGTGGCGTGTAGATTTTATACAGAATTACCTAGTCTATTGCTATGAGCGATAAGATTCTCTCGATATCGATAGCTCAGTGTCACAGGATTCCCCTGAAGGAATAAACGATTCAGCCAAGGCAGACTGGAAATAGTCTCACTCAAATCTCGCATATCTTTTATTTTATTGTCCCTCGCGTCCAAGTGCTCCAGATTGAGAAAATGACTCAATGCTCTCAAGGAAATTAATCCATTACCTGTCACGTTGAGTATCTTCAAATGATTCTGGAGAAACAAAATTAATCGACACAATACACAATGAATTCTTTCCAATTGATCGATTTATTCCTCACCGACAATGTCTTCAAACTCCTAGGATCAAAAACCAGTGATTCCCCAACCGCTAGCTTCTGATTCTCGATATGCAACTCCAATAAATTCTCCAGCCCTTCCAGTCCCTGGACGATATTAATGCCATTATGTCCCAAGTACAGGCTCCTCAGATTCCTCAACCCCTGGAGATTCTCAATTCTCGTAATATTGTTGTGTTGCAGATACAAATGTGTAAGACTCTCAGCAAAATCGAGATTTTCTATTTTCGTAATGCAATTGTTCTGCATGTAAATCACTCGTAAATTTTTGCATCCAGAGAAATTTCCCTAATAAAAAAATTCCATGAGATCTGGAATAATAGAATTCCGATGAAATAAATGTACTCACGACAGCTTCTATCAATTTATCATTCATAAAGAGATGAGTGATTTTCCTCAGATGATTTTTGCAGATACCTTTCGTCAGTGATTTATTAGATTGCGTTCTTACGCATTCCTTTTCGATAAATGCAGTCGTCAACAGCACCATTATCCCCGAAGGCTTTCATACCCCTCGAAAAATCGTGAATACTACATTCATACTGCATTCCGTCATTTCTGTAGCACCAGTCGATCAAACGTATTGATCAAACAATTGTCTCGTCTCGACTGTTTTGTTACTCAGGCATTCAAATTGAAAAAAAAAAAAAAAATCAAGTTGTATAATATTTTATTACAAGTTTTCGTGTACATCAACCGTGAATATTTCAAATATTTCAAACCCCTATATATCTTTTCCCTATATATAATTTGTATATTAATCCAGTCGAAATGGTTTGCAATAAATATTTGTATAGATGCTTAAAAAATCACATTAATAGTGAACGCATGTGGCCATTAATGATTATCAATTTTCAATGAAATTTCCCCTATTAATGTGACATTGTTCGTGGCAAATTTGAATGTCACTCGCCCACAAAATTTCCCCTATTAATGTTCCAATAGCTATTGTAATTATTGAAATTACAAACGTAGATTTTGGCAAATCAACAGTTATCAATGATCAATCGGTCTTCTGCATCATTACATCACCTAGATAATCATCGTGATTAAATGAAGAGTAACATAAATCTACGTACAAACAGAAATATATTCCCCTCGACGTATTTACACTGAATTTATGATTGATCTCAGTCTTTCGGAGTGACTAGGTCCTACAATTTTCCATGGATCATCGAAAATTACCACTGGATACTTCCACTCTTGAGATCCTTGTACGCTGATGCTGTGATAATGCCATGATTCTGACTGTAACTACCCAGTGAACGCATGGTTCTCTGATTTGTGACTGATTTCTGTATGGCACTGTGCCTGAGATGATTCTTGAGCATTTGACTACGTGTGAGCTTTAATCCCCCTGTCACTGTATCATTGACATTTGTACGTCGTCCAACAGCTGATCTAGTTTGCATTGGCATCGTTTGATTCAGGTAATTCTGAATTATCTGACTCTGCGACGAATCACTCTGCGATACTGGATCACTTGATGCAAAGTGTTTAGTTATGTTATTTGGCATTTTCGTGATTAAATACTCGGGGTGATGATTTAGACTCTCCTGGGTCGGTCGTTTTGCTATCGAGTGTCTAGGTGGAATGGATTTTTGAGAATTTCTGTTCACCGCTGGTTTATTACCTCTCCTCAGTCTAGGTTGAATTCCAGAATTCCACTTATTCCCTCCACCAGTCTGGAAAATTGAGAAGAGAAATACCACCGGGAATTCATTATCTACCCGGCTTCATTACAATAATTATAGTAATTGTAACAATTATAATAATTCAGTAGCGAAGCGTTAAAGAAAACTCGACATTCCCTGCCGCATTTTCAATCAATACCTCTTGATTCAAGGGAGATATCAAAATTTGTGATAAGAGTGAATTTGTTGAGTGGATTGAAAGCTGCAGAAAAGGTAGTTATAAAAAATTTGATATTTCTCTCGGATTTGAAGATATCCAGCGGCGACGGAATTTGCGTTATTCACTCTTTGTTTCTGTGCTACTGAATTAATTCCCCGAGGTATATAATGTTTAATATGGTGTTGCGTGCAAAAGAAAAATTGAATCTATCACAGTTTATCTTCAGAAATTACAGTACCTAAATATATCCCATATGGCAAGTAGCCTGCAACGATATAATTGGGATTTACACCAGCCATTGAGAAAATTGTAACGGGATTTTAATTATATTCAACTCACCACAGCCGCTTGCTCCGATTGAAACGATCTCTGGGATTTGTTGTTCATCTGCTGCGGGGACTGACTGAGGCACTGACAGCTTTTGGCGTGTCCTGGGGGTAGATTCCGGAAATTTCCGTTGATCAGGTTGTGGGCGTATTGAGAAATTACATTTCTCCCTGCAAAACGAAATGAATAAAAATTAAATAGCAAGAACTACTGGAGCTATTGACAATCAGAAGACACACCTTCAACCTGTGGATGTTTGAAGGCCTCGGGTTTGTCCCTTCGTACATCATCACTGGATGTGTGAAAATTATTCTTCGGCAGAACCTCTCGGGATAGTGCATTCCCCGGTTCTTTCCTCATGTGATCCGATAGCCGACGAATTCTAGACTTGGACCTACCGGAAAATTTGTGTTTTATCCTACAGAGGAAAAAATACATATGGAACCACCACTCGGGTACTCAGCGGTTGTCCACTATATTATCCTCACGTATTTTTGCTCTTCCGATGTTTTTCATCCATCATTGTGTAGAGTTTATTCCTGTACTCGTCAACGGACAGCTGCACGTCGTCTCGCAGGGGTGGAATGACACTTGCACCACGTTCAGGCTCATATGCCCGATGATGGAAGCTAATGAACGAATACAAATCCAACTCTTAAACATCAATAATCACTCTTAAAAATATTCTCCACTCACTCAGCGACATATGGATGCTCCAAAGCTTCAACCGCTGTCAACCGGTGATTAGGATTGAACACAATTAAACTATTGATTAGATCTAGAGCGCTGTCCGAGAAATTAATGAACAACTCCCGTAGACTCCGACGGGGCACATTGGGCGTCTTCTCCAGGAGATTAGTTCCATATCCTGCGCTGACGGATGCGATATCTACGGGAGAAATATTATTTTTAATAAACATTCTTCTTGAACTTGTAGAAGGAGAAAATAGGAGTTCACACCCTCTGGAGTAGGAGGAGGCAGAGTAGCCATTATTCGCTCCACCTGATTGATCGTCGAGGAACCGGGGAACAGTGGCTTCTCCAGGAGCATTTCACCGAGAATACACCCCAGTGACCACATGTCAATGCCTTTAGTGTACCTGAGGAATTCGGAGATCACGGGATGACGTTTTCGTTATTTATAAAAGTCAAGGTTTTTTAATGAAAGACAGTCTCACCTTCGGGAAGCGATGAGAATTTCTGGTGCTCGGTACCACCTTGTCGCCACGTAATCCGTCAAGGTTGGATCACTACCGGCTTCACCATCACCTTCTCCAATTTGTGTGACAGATCTTGCCAGACCAAAGTCAGCTATTTTGCAGTGGCATTGAGCATTCAGAAGAATGTTCGACGGCTGCAAGGAATTCACATTTTTTTCACCATTTCTTCACACATCTCGCTATTCCCAGGAAATACTTACCTTCAAGTCTCGGTGTATTACATTACCCGAGTGAATGTACTTCGTTGCTTTGAACAGCTGATACATAATGTAGATTTTATGGATGTCTTTCAGAATGTTTCCCCTTTTGATGACATTATGCAGATCCGTCTCTGAAAATTCAGTATTTTCGAATAAAAAATATTTATTTACTAAATAGAGAAAGATTTTCCAAGCGAATTGATTGATAATTTAATAAATATTCATCAATTTGTCTATTAATTTTTGTTTAAAGATAGAAAAATATGGAAAATCAAGAATGTATTGAGAATGCATTAAGGCCCGGA